CAAAAAAAAAAAAAAAATAGACAAAAAAAAAGAAAAAAAACGCCGACCGAAAAATGTATATTGTTTAAAAGTATACTGAACGACCAGTGTTATTACGGCTCAGGGGTATGACTTCCTCTCACATTTTGTCCTTTGGTGGCGCACTTTCGGCGAGAGTCGGAAATCCGGAAACAGTCGACCGTTTCACGATAGGTGGGCATGGCTACAACACGAGAAATATCCCAAATTTACTTGGATACGAGTAATCATTTTCAGCAAAAAAATCAATAACTACCCTTTTCAGTGGGACACAGATCTAAAATGGGAAACGTGAGGGTGGGCATTGCACAGGCACTTTAAAGGTGATTTTCTAAGAAGACATTGACAAACTTCAATCAGCATTTTTAGATTTCACCACTGAGAAGTCAGTATGCAAATATATCAACCACCAAATGTGCGATTATGATTGGATGACAGGGCTATGAGGTATATAATAGGAAATGTCTTTCTGGTACAAAATTAATAAAGAAATTATAGAAAAATACTTATAAATGTGGAAAATGTTTCTACAAAATGTAGTCATTCAGATAGTTAACCATTTGAGTGTCAGATATTTTTCCACCCAAAATTCTGTGCAAATAATTTCACAGTTTGTACAATTTTTACTAAATTTTATCATCATTTTGTACCATAGAGACAGATAATGCTATGAGTTTTGTGGGAAAGATCCAACTGTACAAGATCGTTTTGTAAATGATGCCAAATGTTGACATTAGTGCACAAAGGGTTAAGGGTTGGATCAGTAGTGGAAGATGAGGTACTCTAGAGACATTGAAATTAATCATAATCGCACATCAGACCAATTAAAACTTAACGATAATCACAAAAGTGAAATGCAACTTTATTGTACTGACTGGTATGTGTAGTTCTCAGCGATGGCACTCAAGTCACATGGTTGGGAAACACAATGTGTTTTGAGATAATCTGCAGACCTTATTAGTTTGTAGTTGAAATCAGTGCCAGTTAATTATCTAATTTGCATAAATAATTGTTCAATTTTCAGCATTTTCATTGATATACCTTCATATGTACCAATATACCTTCATATGTACTGATATACCTTCATATGTTCTGATATACCTTCATATGTACTGATTTACCTTCATACTGATATACCTTCATATGTACTGATATACCTTCATATACACTGAAATACCTTCATACTTAATATACTTTCATATGTACTGATATACCTTCATATACACTGATATACCTTCATATACACTGAAATACCTTCATACTTAATATACCTTCATATGTACTGATATACTTTCATATGTACTGATATACCTTCATATGTACTGATATACCTTCATATACACTGATATACCTTCATATGTACTGATATACCTTCATATACACTGATATACCTTCATATACACTGAAATACCTTCATACTTAATATGTACTGATATACTTTCATATGTACTAATATACCTTCATATACACTGAAATACCTTCATACTTAATATACCTTCATATGTACTGATATACTTTCATATGTACTGATATACCTTCATATACACTGATATACCTTCATATACACTGAAATACCTTCATACTTAATATACTTTCATATGTACTGATATACCTTCATATGTACTGATATACCTTCATACACACTGATATACCTTCATATACACTGAAATAACTTCATACTTAATATACTTTCATATGTACTGATATACCTTCATATGTACTGATATACCTTCATATACACTGATATACCTTCATATACACTGAAATACCTTCATACTTAATATACCGTCATATCGTCATATGTACTGATATACTTTCATATGTACTGATATACCTTCATATGTACTGATATACCTTCATATGTACTGATATACCTTCATATACACTGATATACCTTCATATACACTGAAATACCTTCATACTTAATATACCTTCATATGTACTGATATACTTTCATATGTACTGATATACCTTCATATACACTGATATACCTTCATATACACTGAAATACCTTTACTTAATATACTTTCATATGTACTGATATACTTTCATATGTACTGATATACCTTCATATGTACTGATATACCTTCATATGTACTGATATACCTTCATATACACTGATATACCTTCATATACACTGAAATACCTTCATACTTAATATACCTTCATATGTACTGATATACTTTCATATGTACAGATATACCTTCATATGTACTGATATACCTTCATATGTACTGATATACCTTCATATACACTGATATACCCTCATACTTAATATACCTTCATATGTACTGATATACCTTCATATGTACTGATATACCTTCATATGTACTGGTATATCTTCACATGTACTGATATACCTTCACATGTTCCGAGATACCTTCACATGTACCTATATACCTTCATATGTACTGATATACCTTCATATGTATCGAGATACCTTCACGTGTACTGATATACCTTCACATGTACTGATATACCTTCATATGTACTGATATATCTTCACATGTACTGATATACCTTCACATGTACCGATATACCTTCATATGTACCAATATATCTTCATATGTACTGATATACCTTCACATGTAGATATACCTTCACATGTACTGATATACCTTCACATGTACTGATATACCTTCATATGTACTGATATACCTTCATATGTAATGATATACCTTCACATGTACTGATATACCTTCATACTTACTGATATACCTTCACATGTTCTGATATACCTTCATACTTACTGATAAACCTTCATATGTTCTGATATACCTTCACATTTTTTGATATACCTTCATATGTACTGATATACCTTCATATGTTCTGATATACCTTCACATATACTGATATACCTTCATATGTACTGATATACCTTCACATGTTCTGATATACCTTCATACTTACTGATATACCTTCACATGTTCTGATATACCTTCATACTTACTGATATACCTTCATATGTTCTGATATACCTTCACATTTTTTTATATACCTTCATATGTACTGATATACCTTCATATGTTCTGATATACCTTCATATGTACTGATATACCTTCACATGTAGATATACATTCACATGTACCGATATACCTTCACATGTACCGATATACCTTCATATGTACTGATATACCTTCACATGTAGATATACATTCACATGTACCGATATACCTTCACATGTACCAATATACATTCACATGTACTGATATACCTTCATATGTACTGATATATCTTCACATGTACTGATATACCTTCACATATACCGATATACATTTACATGTACTGATATATCTCCATATGTACTGATATACCTTCACATGTAAATATACATTCACATGTACCAATATACCTTCACATGTACCAATATACCTTCATATGTACTGATATACCTTCATATGTACTGATATACCTTCACATGTACTGATATACCTTCATATGTACTGATATATCTTCATATGTACTGATATACCTTCACATGTACTGATATACCTTCATATGTACTGATATACCTTCATATGTACTGATATACCTTCACATGTACCAACATATCTTCATATGTACTGATATACCTTCACATGTTCCAATATATCTTCATATGTACTGATATACCTTCACATGTAGATATACATTCACATGTACCAATGTACCTTCACATGTACCAATATACCTTCACATGTACCAATATACCTTCACATGTACCGATATACCTTCATATGTACTGATATACCTTCACATGTACTGATATACCTTCATATGTACTGATATATCTTCATATGTACTGATATACCTTCACATGTACTGATATACCTTCATATGTACTGATATACCTTCATATGTACTGATATACCTTCACATGTACAGTATACCTTCACATGCACCAATATATCTTCATATGTACTGATACCTTCACATGTTCCAATATATCTTCATATGTACTGATATACCTTCACATGTAGATATACCTTCACATGTACTGATATACCTTCATATGTACTGATATACCTTCATATGTACTGATATACCTTCACATGTACTGATATACCTTCACATGTACCAATATATCTTCATATGTACTGATATACCTTCACATGTAGATATACATTCACATGTACCAATATACATTCACATGTAGTGATATACCTTCATATGTACTGATATACCTTCACATGTACTGATATACCTTCACATGTACTGATATACCTTCACATGTATCAATATATCTTCATATGTACTGATATACCTTCACATGTAGATATACATTCACATGTACCAATATACATTCACATGTAGTGATATACCTTCATATGTACTGATATACCTTCATATGTACTGATATACCTTCACATGTACCAATATACCTTCATATGTACTGATATACCTTCACATTTTCTGATATACCTTCATATGTACTGATATACCTTCACATGTTCTGATATACCTTCATACTTACTGATATACCTTCACATGTTCTGATATACCTTCATACTTACTGATATACCTTCATATGTACTGATATACCTTCATATGTTCTGATATACCTTCATATGTTCTGATATACCTTCATATGTACTGATATACCTTCATATGTACTGATATACCTTCATATGTACTGATTTTTTTATGTATCTCTTATTATTATAAACTTCTGAAATTTCAGAATGCTTTCAACATTGTACATAACAGACAATAAAGCTATAGTAGTCAAGAGGTTCTTGTTTGATAGTCTGAAATTTTTAATTAAATATTTCTCTATTAGTCTTCAATCTATGCCTCAAATAACCTTGTCACACAGGAGTTCTTTCTAAGCTTTTTTTTAATTTTGTTATTTAAATACATGTGTACAATGACCAGAAACCTGCTCTGTTTAATTAATTTGATTTATTTCTCTCTTTCTCTTCTATGTCTGTTTCTGATCCATTTACATACTTTGCTGCTATCTACATACCATATCTTACTTTTATTTGTCTTGGTATTTCTAGTGCAATGGGTGCGTCTCGCAGTGCTACTGTAGTTATCGCTTATATAATGAATACCAAAATATCTCTGGAGGACACTCTAATTAAGGTGAAGGAAAAGAGATCATGGATAAGGTATGGTTAATTACTATGTCTATCATTTCCTATTGACAGTATATGTTTGGCACTTCTCACAGTGCATCAGTGGTACTTGGATATTTAATTGCAACTAAGAATCAGCTTTTGCATAATAAATGAACAAGTATTTTGAAACTTACAGATGCTGAAATCACTGCTCAATGTGAGAATTTGCAACATCTTGAATTACCAAAATTACTTAAAATAACATGCTTGCCAGAAAGACATATGCTTTACAATATGGCATCCTCATGAAAACTTCTAAACACATCCCGTTTCTTGAACTATTCAATAGCAAATTCTATTCCTAAATATTTATAATTTTTAACTATATCTAGTTCTTCCTTTTCATAACAAACACTATACTTATGATTTAATAATTTGCCACATAAATTTGATCCTTTATTTAGCTCTACTATTTTTTCTGCAAATCTTGAACTACTAATTTTTTGATGTTTATTATGTTTTGACCTCATATGCATATATACATGTACATAATGCAGCAACCATTCGTTTCTAAATCTGATTTAAGCTGGCTGAAAATTATGCT